TTTTTTTGGTACTGGGAATCAAACTCACGACCTCGCGCTTGCCAGGCAGGCGCTGTGCCACTGAGCTAAATCCCCAGCCCCTTGCAGCTGTTATATTGTGACTAGCACAAAACATAGTCTTCCAATACTGAAAACTCCTATTTTTGTCTTACTCTTCAGTGTAAATGAAAATATCAATCAACGTTTTGTTGGAACTATACTGAGTCAATGACATGAACGACTGTTGAACTAAATACTAATCAAGCATTTGTTCATGGTCTGGTTTTCATGAATCTTGTGAACTGCAGCCAGAGGTTGGCTGCAGATACAGAGTGGGAAAAATCAAAGAAAGCAAGCCAGTGTATGTGGCTGAGGCAGGAGGACTGCCATGAGTTTGAGGTCAACCTAGGCATTATGAGTTCAAGGCCAGCCTGGACTACACAGTGAAACCCTGTCTCAAAAAACAAACAAACCAAACCAAATCAAACAACAGTGGCTGAGGTTGAGGCCAACCTGGGTCATACTGTGAGTTCAAGGCCAGGCTGAACTGCATAGTGAGGCCTTGTCTCATAAAAACAAAACAAAAGAAACCCAGTATATTTTAGTGTTACTTCTTTTTTGGGACTACTGAGATGCACCCCTAGTCCATTATTTTTTTTCACCCAGTGTTGGGGACTGAACTCAGGGCCTTTGTACTGAGCTACATCCCCAGCCATTTTTCATTTTTTGCTCTGTTTTGTTTTTATTTTTTGAAACAGGATCTTGCTATGTAGTCCAGGTTGCCCCAAACTCACTCTGTGGCCCAGGCTGGTCTTGGCTCAAAGAGGTTCCTCCAGCCTCAGCCTCCTAAGTGCGGGATTATAGGCGGAGGCCACCACACCCAGCAGGGCTTTCCATCTCGCTGGCTCAGCAGGTCCCGCAGGTTGGTAGGTGACTCACCTCTTTCCCACCAGCGGCCTTCGCTCCAGAGAGTGTAGGGTACGCAGGACACAGCACCTCTGCGTTCATCTGTCTAGGCAGATGTGCTGTGTCACACACCTGGGTCTGAGGCCGGGTCTATGCCCGTAAACAACAGGAAGTCCCGAGCACAGCACTCTTGCGGGGTGTGCGAGGCGGTGGGGGTGCCCACGGCGCGGGCAGAGGGGCTGTGAGTGACAGGCAGACGCTCCCTGAAGGAGGGAGGCGGCTTCAGGGCCAAGCGGGCCAGCAGGAAGGGAGGCCTGGGCGGTGGGAGGTGGCAGCGTGCCCTGTGACAGCTTGTCTTCCCCGGATGGGCTTCGATTTCCTCATCCCTCAAGCCCACAGCTGCAGGCCGGGGTGGCTCCCCTACCCCAACCCCAGGAAGCCATGCACACGCCACGGCCATCTGGGCAGGCCAGGAGCCGCAAAGGCGGCAGGCGGGCATGGAGTCAGGGCTCCTACCCCGTTCTACAGGAGGAGGACATCAGGCTCTGGTGCTGCTCTGGGGAAAGCCGGGGAGGGCATGTTGGGCTGAGGGTGCTCACGCCCCTGGCCAGCGCGGCCCTGTGTACTCCGGCACAGCCCGTGTGCGTGCAGCTCCATGGCTGGCTGTGTTGTCCCCCCGGGCCTAGGACCCCGTGCTGCCTTCCCATTGTGCTCCGTGGTCTCAGCTCTGCCTGAAGTGGAGCAGAGCCTGGGCCAGGAGCCCAGGGGCCGGGACGAGTCCCTGCATCACTTAGTGACCCTGGAGATGCTCCTTGAGTTTTCCCGCCGGGAGAGGCGGCCGGCTGGGGCGGTCATCCCCGCCGGGCCCTTGACAAGGCTGCCGGGCATCAGGCTGTGGAGTTATAAAGAAAGAAAAGCTTGGTCCCGGGGCTTCACACCGGAGCTGGCAGCGTCCCCTGCATCACCCAGTGACGAGCCAGGAGCTGCAAGGAGGTAACAATCCCCGGGAACTTGTACTCTGCCCTACAGGCCTCCGCCCCAGCGCCCCAAAGCACTTAGGGTTCTGAGCTTCAAAACAAGCGAACCATGCGACAGGCCAAGGCCTGCCGGCAGCAGGCTGGGAAAGTCTCTCCACCCCTCCCTGCCCTCAGGCCCCCACGGGTGTGGAAGGTGCGGCGGGAGGGCGAAAGCTCCCCCGAGGAGGCCGCGCTCTGTCCCAGTCCCACCCCAGCTTGCTTCTCCCAGGCTCACAGTGCCTGAGTGCCCGGGTTTCACCCTGAGGCCGCAGGCTTAGTCACAGCAAACAGAGACCGCGCTAAGGTCAAGAAAACAAGGAAGGAGGCAGCACAGCTGAGGTGGAGAAGGATAGCTGGACGCCACGGCGGAGGTGTGGGCTGGGCTGCTCGGGGCGCTGGGTCCTGGGTCTGCCGCACAGCCTGCCCCGGGGCCAAGGCCGGCCTGCGGGTCCGGGCAGGGCTCCAGCGGTGCCAGGCCGCCAGCAGGGGCGCGGCGCCAACCCCGGGGGCTCGGTTGCTTCAGCACGTAAGAGGCTCCCCGGGGCCGGGGCGCGCGGGGGGGGTGCGGGTACAAGCAGGCTGCGACAGGAGTGAGGAGCGCCTGGCTCGGGGACTTGCAGCCTGGGACTCCCGGGGATGCCCAAGGCACCTGCACGCCACCCACGGGCAGAGCGGCCCCCAGGGAAACTTTCTCCCGCGCGGGTAGCGGGGCTCAGCTCCCTCACATGCGTGTGTTGTGCATTCGCTGAGTCCCCAGCGCCGGACTCGGCATGTGGAAATCAGATGCGGCCGCCCGCAGCGGGCTCAGCCAGCCAGGGCCCCCCAGGGGCCCCGTCCCGGGACCTGCCACGCCTGGGTCTGCCAGGCGCTCAGTGAGCCTGAGCTGGTTGCCTGTCGATTGAGCTGGTGATTGCATGGGGCCCCCGGGTGTTCCAGTTCACAGAGCCGAGAGCCCGGCTGCAGGGAGGGCTGGGAGACTGGAGGCACCCGGCTGGAGCCCCGGGGGAAGGGCCTGGGCGTGGCACGCAGCCCTCCACCCCTGCCTGCTAGCTTGGCCTTGGCATCAGGCGAGGCCGGGTCAGCGCAGAGGTGGCAACAGGCCCCACAGCAGGATTCCCCTTTCTCAGAAGTTTCATCCACCACCCGGGGCTTACCAGGCACTCGCCACACCCGCTATCAAAAACTTGAGGATAGCAGCTTCCTTTTACTGATTAAGATGCTCAGTTAAACAGCTCGCTGAAGGTCACCCACACACCCTCGAGAAGCTGAGCTGCCCTTAAGCTCAGGCCTGCCTGTCTGGAAAGACTGAGCTCTGATGGTTCGCCATCGCAGAGGAGCGTGCCTGGTGAGCAGCCCCAGTGCAGCCTCAGCCTCAGCACCTGCTCAGGAGGCCTCGGTCGGGGTTCTCTCTGTCCCTGTCCGCTGGGGGCCCAAGCCCGGGCCTCACACGTTCCAGGCAAGCACCCTGCTGCTGAGCCGCACCCTCGGCCGTCTCTCTCACCTTCCTCACAGTGTCCTCGTCCTGATTCCCTCCTTTCTCTGATGAACCCAGCATCTGAGATTGTATCATTGCTAGGTTTTTTTCCTTTCAGTTAAAATAATGACATTCAGTATCCTTAGCTATTAGGGAAATGCAAATTAAAGCCATACTGAGATTCTATCTTACCCCAGTCAGAATGCCGACCATGAAAAATACAAAAAATAATGAGATGGATGAATAAAGAAAATGTACACACATTTGAGTATTATTCAGCCATAAAAATGAATTAAACGTTGTCATTTGCAGAAAAATGAATGAATGTGGAGATTATCATGTTGAGCAAAATAAGCCCGACTCAGGAGAATACATAGCGCCTGTCCTCCCCAGTGTGTGGAATCTAAGAAGAGGACAAGAAAGCAGGAGGGAGACTACTGCTATGGGAGGAGGGGGAGCGGGGGCAGGGGCGGGCACTGGGGAGTGCAGATCTGATCAAAACACGTTGCACATGTTGAAACCCAGGAAAAAATGTGAGACGCGGAGGGGAGGGAAGGAGCGCAGGGAGGAGGTTAAAGGATGTTATTATACGCACATACAAATTGGCCAGAATGAAACCCATTCATCTGTGCAACCAACATGCACTAAAAAATGTGGGAAAAATTTGCTGTTTCAAGCTCATTAAAAATGCTTCATTGTGCTGGGCGTGTTGGTGCAGCCTGTAATCCCAGCACTTCAGAGGCAGGAGGATCACCGTGAGTTCGAGGCCAGCCTGAACTGCACAGCGAGACCCTTCCTCAAAAACCAAAAACAAACAAAGAACAAAATAATAAAATGCTTTATTGTGGAAAGATTTTGAAATTGATTTAGGCAGAAATCAAAGGGTAGACCCAGAGGACAAAAGACTGCCCAGAGAAACCTGACACGGGGGCGGGGGACACGCTGTCATCCCTTGAAGACACCGGGGGTCTGCAGCACCGGGCGGGGGCAGCCGGAAGTTATGCGCCTTCAGACAGGATGAATTAGGAATGCAGTGCTCGGTGCCGACTACAAAGGACTCTGCTTCATCCAACCACAAAAAAATTGAACTGAAATAAAACCACACCACTGCAATAACCTTCCTGTCTATTCTAAGAAATACAGGGCATGAAGAAAAAATTGAATGGCATTAGGAAGAAGTAAACAGACAGATCTCAAGCACGGGGCTTCCTTTAGGACCCTGGTTACTCCACAGAGCAGTGACGTGAACCCGTAAAGGTGGAGGAAGGAGGACCGCTTTGTCTAGGAGAACACTCACCCCAACACACTGCGTCACTGTATTTGGATCCTGACTCAAACCAGCAAATCCGTACAAGCAGACACTGTGAAACTGCTGGAGGGACTTACCCTTTATGGAATCGTTCCTTTGGTTAGGTATGGTGCTGCGAGGGTAAGAAAATGTTCCTATATTTCAGACTAAAGACTGTAGGAAGGAGATGAGGGGGTCACTGGGACTTGTTTTAAAAATGCTTCAGAAAAAATAGTACAGATGAAACTACAGTGTCAAAGGTTGCTGACTGTAGAACCTGGACTAATATCTATTTATATACATATATTTCACTTTTCATTTAGAAACGCTACAAAGAGACGCGGTTCACGGCCCCCAGTATCGGGGTTGGACACTGCTGAGAGGTCTGACCTGGGCACTCAGCTCTGCCCGCTCCTCGCCCAGCTCCTCCCACCACAGTACTCAGTGGGAAGCCGAAATGCAATGCGTTGTCCCCAAGGGGAGTCTGCCTGGCCTGGCACAGGTGGCCTCTCTGACTCGGTGCTTGTCCCAAAGCCCTGAAGGAAGGCAGGCAGGAAGACACGTCGAAAGAGGTGAGTGCAGTGGCAGAGGAGCAGAGAGGTGCTCTGGAAGCCAGGGGCCTGGCCGGCACCGAGGAGGGGGCCCCGGAGTTGGCACAAGATCGACAGGAGCTCCTCCGGCAGATGGGGGAGGCGATGGGCCGCGGGAGGGCGCGAGGAAGGGGACAGAACTGGGTTGGGCGGGGCAGGCCGAGCGGGAGAAGCCCATCAGATACAGGGGAGAGGCGGGGTCGCTGTCTGGAGCAGGAGGGTGAACTCTTGTTTGGAGATGGAGACTGCGGAGGCTGCGGCAGAGGAAGACTTGGGGTCCACTTCCCACTTCTCACCACTCACAGCAGGCACCCCAAGAAAACGTTTCTATGTAAGGGCCCACGAATAGTTTGCTTTCTTTTCCTTCCCCCTCTCCCTTCTTCCCTTCCTCCCTCTTTCCTTTTCTTTTATTCTTTTTTTTTTTTTTTCTTTTTGTCCTTTTGAGACAGGGCCTCACTGTGCAGTTCAGGCTGACCTTGAGCTCACTTTGTAGCCCAGCTGGTCTCTAACTCACAACGATCCTCCTGCCTCAGCCTCCCAAGTGCTGGGATTACAGGCGTGCGCCACCACGCCTGGCTTCTTTTATTCTTTTAAAATACACCGTGTTACATTTTTAACTTTTTTATTTTATTAGTACGTGGTTGTAGTACATAATGTTTGCATTCACCACAAGCAGTAGGTACGTGTACACAAGATCTTAATTCTTTCTTCTTTCTTTAATTCTTTAAAGAATTAAAGATTAATTAATTCTTAATTCTTTCTGCATCCCCTGCCCCTCCTCTCTTTTTCTTTCTCTCTCTTTCTTATTTCTTATTTCTTTCCTTTTTTCTTTCTTTCCTTTTCTTTCTTTCTTTCTGTATTACTGGGGCTTGAATCCAGGGAATACTGAGTTTTAGGCCTTGTTATTTTTTGAGGCAGAGTCTCACTGAATTGCCCAGGCTGGCCTTGAACTTGAGATCCTCTTACCTCAGCCTTCCAAGTAGCTGAGATTACAGGTCCATGCCTTCATGCCCAGTCACAAAATGTTTTCATCGGGGGCCGGGGATTTAGCTCAGCGGCACAGTGCCTGCCCAGCAAGCGCAAGGTCGTGAGTTCAATCCCTGGTACTGGAAAAAAACCAAAATGTTTTCATCTGCTTAAAAATAAGAAAAAAATGAACTTGTAAGCTGCAGAAAATATTTTGTAACATTAATACATTTGCCTATCATCTTTTTTTGAGGAAACAGCCACAGCGAGCAAAAATGCCAATGTATATACACTTAAACAGAGTGAAGGCAGGACACCCATGAGATATTTGCTCACTAGTGTTCACAGCCAGTCAAAAAGGGAGAAGCATACCGAGTGTCCATGGACAGATGAGATGGATAGATAAAATGTGCTGCATCGAACAACAGAATTTAATTCAGCCTTAAAAAGAAAGGTGGTAGGATGGGCACGGGGGCATAGGCTTGTAATCCCAGCACTTGAGAGGCTGAGGCAGGAGGATTGCTGTGCGTTTGATGCCAGCCTGGGCTACCAAGTGAGTTTAGGGCCAGCTCGAACTGTATAGCAAAATCCTGTCTCAAAAAGTAGGTTTTTTGGCTGGGTTTTGTGTGAATATGTGCGTGTGTTAAACTCAGGGTGGTCCTCACGCTAAGGTACATCCCCAGCCCCTTTTTTATTTTGAGATAGGATTTTGCTAAATTGCCCAGGTGGGACGCAAACTGGCCATCCTCCTGCCGCAGCCTCCCAACCTGGTTCGGGGAGGAAATTCTGACACATGCTACAACACGGATGAACCCTGCGGGCATTTTGATAAGCGAAATGACGCCAACACGTACTCCACATGACCAGAGAAGCTTCTCTAGTAACATACTATAGAAGTGATCCCATAAAGTATAGCCTTGAGGCCAACACGAAATGACAAATACTGAGTGATGCCATTTGCATGGAGTATCTAGAGTAGTCAGTTCCTCAAAAGAGAAAGCAGAGTGCGGCTGCCAGGCTGGGGCTGGGGGGTAGGGCGTTGCTCGGTGGGTATAGAATTGCAGTGCTGCCAGGTGAGAGTGCTTTGGAGGTTGGCACACAGCAGTGCGAGCGCACGGTACTCACCGCGTCTCAACCCCGTGCTCACAAACAGAAATGGCGGAGTGAGCCGCCCGTCAGGTCGAAGGAAGAGAGACGCTGCGGGAGAGGCGGAAGGCTCGGGCCCTCAGACGGCGGCTCCACCGGAGCCTGGTGGGAAACCTGCTTCTCCCACCTGGTTATCGCGGCCTCCACCCAGCTGATACAGAGGAGAGTCGACTGAACCAGAGGCACACTGCGGTAATTTCCAAGTAGAAGAGACCGACACAGCCATTTCCCGTGCAGATAAAGATATTCAAGGCGATAAAGCATAGTTTTCCAACTACCTGACTAAGCAGGTCACCAGGACACCCTGCCCTCCACTAGGGATCAAACCCAAGCTTCCCTCATGCCGTGCCGGGGTGCCTGACAGCTGAGCCACACCCGCAGCCCTACGATCATGAATGTGTTGATTAGCATCCTGACCACAGTGCTTTGAACCAGGAGCAGCTCCTTCAAGCTTTTTTGTTTGTTTGTTTGTTTGTTTTTGAGACAGGGTCTTGCTATGTAGACCAGGCTGGCCTTGAACTCACTATGCATCCGGGCTGGCCTTGAACTCACAGTGATCTTCCTGCCTCAGCCTCCCAAGTGCTGGGATTATGGACATGTGCCGCCACGACCGGCTTTGTTCAAGTCTTAACTGTGAGGTCTGTGGACCAATGGGAGCACAACTTCCCATGTGAGGAAGATGAATTCCTGGACTCAGTTTCCAGTAACACGCACACACACGCACACACATACGTGCACTCGCTCACACACACACATACGTGCACTCGCTCACACACACACATGCGTGCACTCGCTCACACTCGTGCATGCACAAGGAAGAAGTTTGTGTGTTTACATGCAGCATTTACATGTCTTCCTTGTTAAGCAAAACAGATATAGACTTTAATTTTTTGTACTGTCATTAAAATCTTTTACATGTTTTTAATTTAAAATCTTTTAAACTAAAAAACATGGCAAATTTTAAATTATGCATATTTTAAGCAGCAATTTAAAAAGAAGCCAAGAGCCCACAGAAGTCAGAACGAGGCCCTGGGGCGCGGACGCGGCAGCCCAGAGGGGCTGTGAATAAGGCGGTGGCAGAAGTCCGAGCTGCGGGACGAGCCCCGGTGGAGGTCCGCGCTGCCCCCCGTGCTGCCCTTGCCTCTGCTCCGAGGTGCACAGGGGCACCCTCAGGCTGGGCCGGAGCCGGGACACCTGCGTCTGACTCACCCCGCATCTTGGGCTGTGCCCACAGCAGAGGAGATCGCGCGCCGCCCAGCCCGCCGGCCGGCAGCTGCGCCTGCGCCCGAGGGGGAGTGTGGGTGTGGAGGACCCTCAGCGCCACAGGGCAGGGCTGGGGCTGGCAGAGACCATGTTCGGCCTGGATCCACCTGTGCTCTCCACCAAGACTTCCGCTGCAGCTCAGCGCCCGAGGATGCTGCAGCCCGGAGCCTGCCCAGCCGCTGCCCACGCAGACCTTTGCTCGGGCCCCTGGAGCGACCGCTGGTCCTGCAAAGCTGTCAGTGGAGTTCTGCCTTCCATCCCATCCCCCCTCACTCACACGGAGACTTCTAGGCGGCTTTCCTGCGGGAGAGGGCCTCGCTGTGAGCATTTCCTGGGGTCTCTGCTCCCCGCTTGTGCTCCAGGGGACAGGTACAAGTCGGGGAGCCGCAGAGTGGTGTCTCAGGGCCTGGCCCACCTGGGGGGAAGCAGGCCGGCTGTTCCCCTGGCGGTGGGAGTGGGAGAAGGCGGCGGGGCTCTGGGCTCCCTCCGCTCAGGCTGAGCAGGAGAGCCGAGCGTGTAGCTCACCCTGGGGGAGCTGAGATGGGCTCCCTGCCCACCCCAAGACCCCCCGGCCAGATCAGATAGGGCACATTCCTGCTGTAAGCTGCCGGGTGCCTGGTGTGTGCTGACGCAGACGGGAAAATATTAACCCAGCCGAGTGGGCGCATGCTCACTTGTGCACGACCCTGTGTGTGTGTCCACAGAGGATTTCACACGCAAAGCCAGACGCAGGCATGCACAAGCACACACACACCCCTCCGTGTACTCACAGATAACCGGGCTCATAGACACGTACTCACATGTAAACACTTACAATGGCACAGATGCGTTCCACAGACTCAGGTTCCTTCCCTCGTCTCCCCAGTTGCTTCTGCCGTGGGATGCCCTCCTCCAGGAAGCCTTCCTTGACAGGTACGGCTTGTACCACAAGGTGAAAGTCATGGGCTTCAGCCGCAGTGTCTGCCCGCAAGTTCAGCAGCTCGACAGGAGCTCTGCATAGAGCAGGGCCGAGTTTAAATCCGGTTCCTTGACTTACAGCATTTTTGTCCTTGGGCAGGGGGCCATGCCTGGTCCTGTCTGCCTTAACCTTTGTCTGCTCTGGGCTGGAGGCTCACGTGTGACTCTGAGAAGGACGAGCGTCTAGGCTGGGGATGCTCGGCCAGCGGCAGGGGCAGGGCCAGAGCTCAGGGCTGGAAGTCCTAGTTCTCGATGATCTTGAGAAAGCTGCTACCCTGTTCTGCACGGAGTCTACTTGAGAAGTGAGTTGGGAAGGGGATATTTACGCAGGCGAAGCTCAGGTTCTTTTCTTTTCTTCCTTCTTCATTGCTGGGGATTGAACCCAGGACATGGCACTGAGCTACCTCTGTGGCCCTTTTTTCTTTTTTGTCTTTTTGAGACAGGGTCTTGCTATGCAGTTCAGGCTGGCCTTAAACTCACTTTGTAGCCCAGGTTGGCTTCAAACTTGTGGCGATCCTCCTGCCTCAGCCTCCCAAGTGCTGGGATTACAGGTGTGCACCACCACACCTGGTCCTTCTTAAATTTTCAGACAGGGTGCCACTAATCACTGAGTTGCCAACTGGGCTCAAACTTGTGATTCTCCTGCCTCAGTTTCCCAGGTCATTGGAAGTGCATGTGTGTGCCACCACACCCAGCTGTTGTTGGTTTTTGTTTTTGTTTTTGTTTTTTGTCTTTTTGAGACAGGGTCTCGCTATGCAGTTCAGGCTGGCCTTGAGCTCACTTTGTAGCCCAGGCTGATCTCGAACTTGCAATGATCCTTCTGTCTCAGCCTCCTGAGTGCTGGGATTACAGGCATGCACCACCACACCCGGCCGGGTTTTTTTTTTGGTACCAGCAATTGAACTCAGGACCTTGTGCTTGCCAGGCAGGTGCTGTGCTGCTGAGCTATCTCCTCAGCCCTTGTTTTTGTTTTTGTTGGTACTGGGGATTGAAGCCAGGTTATTTCCCCTGAGCTACAGTCCCAACCCTATTTTAAAATTTTGAGACAGGGTCTCACTAAGTCACTGAATTGCCCAGGCTGGGTTTGAATTTGTAATCCTCATGCCTCAGCCTCCTAGAGTGCTGGGATTACAGGCTTATGCCACCATGCATGGTTAGTTATGAGAATCTTAAATTATTGTTGTTTCTCAATTAGATTTTTAAAAGGAGTTATTTGCATTTTCATTACTAATTGTTTCAGCCAATTGCGTCTGCCCTGGGCTGTTCGTAACAGAGAACAATTAAATATGTTTAAAGCCAGAGATATGTGAATGCCCATCAGTAAGGGGGATCCACAATATGGAAGATACGCCAGGTGGGCTCCTGGACACCCATGCACACTGGGTGGATGTGGACTTACGGGCACAGAAACAGTCTTAGTTTTTTATTTTTTGTTTTGTTTTTTTCCCCGGTAATGGGAATCGAATTCACGACCTCGCGCTTGCCAGGCAGGTGCTGTGCGGCTGAGCTAAATCCCCAGCCCCTCAAAAACAATCTTAACATAAGATCTGAATGAAAAAGTACTGTATAAAATGTTACATTGGGGCTGGGGATTTAGCTTAGCGGCAAAAGCACCTGCCTGGCAAGCGCAAGGTCGTGAGTTCGGTTCCCAGTACCGGAGAAAAACCAAAAAAAAAATAAAAAGAAAAAAAAGAAAATAAATAAAATGTTACATACACAGCCCCGGCAACTTAGCTACTTAGAAAGATGCATCTCAAAATAAAATATAAAAGGCTGGCAATGTCACTCAGGGTTCA